CACGGGCCATTCCCTGCCACAGCCAAATGTGCCAGAGCACGTGGCAGCGTCTGCCGCCACTGAAAGCCCAACTTTAGCTCAAGGTTATGGTTTACGATGAGTCACGTTCAAACGCGCGTTGCGCGGTCGTCTGATATGGCCTTAGCGCAGCCAGCCACCGTCATAGCCTCCAAGAGGCGGCGTAAATTGATATTGGTTTAGATGAATACTTGCTCCCTATGCGGAATGAACATTCAGTGAATGTTTGTCAAGATCAAGATGTCACTCACATGTTCAAAGCTATTGATGCCACCGCACCTCGCCAACGCTTGCTACCCTATGCCAGGACGGAAGGAAGGAAGCGTCGTTTGTGCCCCCATGGCGCACATTTTATTGTTAAGGTTCGTTATGTTTGGTTATGGTAAGGTCCTTATGATAGTTAAGGTTAGTTACTGCCCAGAAATGGTAAATAAAAATCAAAGTTACGACCAAAAAGATAGTGTGATAAAGTATAACTATGGTAGAGGTTATGATTCAATTCGAGAGCATAGGCGGAATAGAAGAGGAAGGTGGAGGTGTTTATCATGAAGTTAAACAGGGAGAGGCGCTCTGCAAGGGATGGAGCTTTAAAACAATGGGAGCAGCTGGGGAAAAGGCGCGACCTCCCACGAGCAAAACTCGACTTGGGGTTCCAATGGAAGGCCTTGGTCGCTGGAGTGCGTAGAGGGGAGTAGATTGAGATGAGAGGGGAGAGGCCGGAAAGTGCGTGGAGGGGAGTAGGGTGAGATGAGAGGGGAGAGGTAGGAGAGTGCGTAGAGGGGAGTAGAGTGAGATGAGAGGGGAGAGGTCGGAAAGTGCGTGGAGGGGAGTAGATTGAGATGAGAAGGGAGAGGTAGGAGAGTGCGTGGAGGGAAGTAGAGTGAGATGAGAGGGGAGAGGTAGGAGAGTGCGTGGAGGGGAGTGGAGTGAGATGAGAAGGGAGAGGCAGGAGAGTGCGTGGAGGGGAGTAGAGTGAGATGAGAGGGGAGAGGTAAGAGAGTGCGTGGAGGGGAGTGGAGTGAGATGAGAAGGGAGAGGTAGGAGAGTGCGTGGAGGGGAGTACAGTGAGATGAGAGGGGAGAGGTAGGAGAGTGCGTAGAGGGGAGTAGAGTGAGATGAGAGGGGAGAGGCAGGAGAGTGCGTGGAGGGGAGTAGAGTGAGATGAGAGGGGAGAGGTCGGAGAGTGCGTGGAGGGGAGTAGAGTGAGATGTGTATCTGCGATATAAACACATTCTCCGTATATAAAGACATCCGCTAGACACCTTTAATTATTATGATGAATAATAATCATCGTCTGCTCATCTTGCCGACCCATGCGACAGCCGCTTCATCAGTAGCGTGGACGGAGGGCTCTGGGTCTACCGTCGAGTACTGGTCGGGAGGCATTCGTGGGCAATTTGCGATGTCTCGGTCTTTCGCTGACCACATCAAGAGCATGGATGTTGGTCACGCTTGCCGCGGGGTGGCCGGTATGGGACCTGCTTCGCGGGGCCCGTAACGAGCGTGGCAGGTCGAAGTCAGGAAGACGGTGGGGTCGGTGATGAGGCAGTGGACCGAATGTCCTGGGTGAACCATCGAGAGCTCGGAGAGGTTACTTATCTCCCTGGCCTCTCTGTGTGCTGTCAAGAAGGGCCATTGCCCGAAACATCACCTCTGACATCATTTAAGGCAGCGTTCTTGAGGAATGTGTTGAGTTGCTTTGCGATGTGTGCTTGTGCGTCACTGCCAACGTAGCTTCGCCCAAATAATTGTTATGACACAATGATCAGAAACATGGACATTGATGAAACAGTTGGAACAAAAACTCACGCGTGCACTAAGAAGTATAGAGAAATTCTTGATTGGATTGACAGATTAAAAAAAGGAACACCGATCAGAAAACGTACACATGGCAAAATATCGATTGGGCTGTCTGTGTGAAGATGCATGTGCTGATGGCGTGTTGACTGCGTGTGTGCTGATTTTGTGTATGTGTGTGCGCGCATTAGTCATAAGCTCTTCACGTTCTGCAAGTGCATCTGATCCACACTCTGGTGACCTCTTCAGCGTCCAATTCCTCTGCTGCAGTTGCAGCAGCAGCAGCAGCAACGTCAGTCACTCCATCAGAGCCTCCCACGGCCGTGCAAGAATTGGAGGCGCCATTTCCCCCGTGTGCCCGGTTATTTGCGCGAATGCAATTGGCATGCGTGGTGAAAGTGAGACGGTGCATGGTGCGTGCGAGCCTCGTTTAGAAACGTAGTCACACTATACGGTGCTGTTGCTGCTTCTGCCAAGGGGGTGCAGATCACCATGGTGAACCCGGACCCTCCCCCATGGCCAGCCCATACATCCATTGGTGGTGCCGGCCCACTGGGTGCCCGAAGCAGAACTTATTTTTGGGTGCGTCGCCTGACAACAAACATTTTAGAACGGACAAGCGGCGTAACTTGGTTATACAGCATCACAGTTATGTGAAATAATTACGGTGATATCATACAAACATTTTTTAAGGATTTTAGTTATAGATGATGTTTAGTGCACTGTGGACGTTTGACTGCTTTTCATATGAATCTGAAATGTCTGAAAATTGAGCCGAGATCTGAAATATTGGTTAATGGGAAAACATTTTTTTTTATTGAGCCGGAAATCGTGGCGTCACCGTGAGGCCAAACTCATGGCATAACCATTCTCATCAAGAACACGTGGCACGTGGCACCGGGTCCTGACTTTGTGTAAGCACAACCGCGTTTGACATGAGCACGTCGTGTAAACGATCCGAAAGTCTGAACAAGATCCAACATTTTCCTTAGAGATCTGAAATACGATGTATTTATTAAATCGGAAACTCATCCCAACGGTGCACCCATAAATGAATACGAGGCCCTTTCAACAACTTGGGCTTTTTTCCTCCTTTGCTTCAGCCGGGTGCCGCCACAAATGCCCACATCCAATGACGGACTGTGAACTAACAAATCGGCCCAGGCATTTGTAAACACAGCGGCCTGAATTGCCATGCGATCCTCATTGGCCCATTTGGGCTGATCCAAAAAAACAAATGGGCCGGTGAGGAAGAATCTTTGGGGCTGCCGAATATATGTGGACTTTAATCCCAACTGAGAGCGTAAATAAGCAATGAGGCGTACGCGTGAAAGGTAATAACACATATCAATTAAAACATTTTTTACTCTGATCTCATTTGCAATTTCCCCGCACAGACCGGCACCATCGGCCCTCGGAATGGACGGGCCCAGTGAGCACTTGCCCGAGCTGCTGCCCGAATGGCCAGTCGTCCAGGCGTGCCCACATCCCTCTCGCCCGTCCGCCATCCAGCCGGTTGTGTTGGCTCATGAAGTTACGATGCCGGACGCGGGATGATGGGGCGAAGGTGGCACCGTGGTACAGACCAATGGGTTGCGGCGCGGTGCAACGTGGGAGCATGGCGCAGTGAACGAAACGGGCCCCCCCCCCTGTCCAATTTCGTGTTCATTTACGAAATTATTCACAGAAATATTCAAGGATGACCGACCGAGTGAATGAAAATTGTCAAGCATGAAATATTGCTTTTGATTTTTGGACGAACTTAAAACGATCCCAGGACTCTGGAGAGAATGAGCAATCAGCGTCTCTCTGCCACTCATTGTTAATCATGGTTTTGTATAAAATGTTAATTATAAGCGTTACATCCAAGCAGCGTTTTAAACTGCTAGAAGGTCGCCGACCTACGGCTGCCTTATTCTAACTCCTGCGGAGGGCTTCGCGCCACGCCCCAACTGATGTCCCCTCCCATGTGTGCAGATACTACTGACTCTGTTGTATGTAGGATGTGTAGGCATGTAGATACTACTGACTCTATTGTATGTAGGGTGTGTAGGCATGTAGATACTACTGACTCTATTGTATGTAGGATGTGTAGGCATGTAGATACTACTGACTCTATTGTATGTAGGGTGTGTAGGCATGTAGATACTACTGACTCTATTGTATGTAGGGTGTGTAGGCATGTAGATACTACTGACTCTATTGTATGTAGGGTGTGTAGGCATGTAGATACTACTGACTCTATTGTGTGTAGGGTGTGTAGGCATGTAGATACTACTGACTCTATTGTATGTAGGGTGTGTAGGCATGTAGATACTACTGACTCTGTTGTATGTAGGGTGTGAAAAAAAAATTGTGGGTGCTCGACAATTTTTGGAAACCAGTTGAATCAACCTCTTACCCCCAATTCTGTGGGGGGGCACTTTCTAGAACTTTTTGACTCAGGCCTCCTGAAAGGCTCTTATTTATTTATATTCTTATTATTTAGTTAACAGACGACGTAATAGAAATGTAGACCATTGCGCCACCTGGCGGTCACATGTATTGCGGCAGCCAATGTGCACTGCAGCCGCAGGCCACGTTAGGTTTAGATTACATTTTCTCAATAACATGGCATCTTTTTTTTTACAAAAAAAATGCGAATTTATCCTCAAACAACAACCTTCGCAAGTGAATGCTTCTGGAAATTAAGGTTTTTCAGTTACAAAAATACTCGTCATGGACAGGATTCGAACCTGTGCGGGGAGACCCCATTGGATTTCGAGTCCAACGCCTTAACCACTCGGCCACCATGACGCAGTTGAAGAAACCAGGGTGCATAGTGATAGTTATAGCTTAACCAATACATCGATCCCATTTATATGTAAAATTTTATTTATGTTATACTTGTTTTACATTTATACTTTGTACGTCTTTGTATCCAACTCGTAATAAGGGCGTTACATTAAACCCTGACAGCCATAAACGTTTACAAACGCGAAGGGACCCCACACAAACGCAGCCGAATGGACCATTCCATTATTTTAATTGTCTCAGGCAGCATCCTAATTGCAGTAACTACAAACAATCAAACATTTCGTATTTAGCCAATTTCAAGTAATTATTTAAATCAATTTAATTTGTTTTTGTAATCGAATAATACTGCGGTATAAAAAATGTTTTATTGTCGATCACTGCGGTGAACTCGCCCACCCACGTGAGCCGGGAGTCGAGTTTTGGCGGGAAGTGGTTCCCGGATCTGAGTCGCTTCTCCTCAGAGGCTCGATCCGTCGATCGGGTTTCAGGTAAACATGACGATTAAAATGATTACCTTTTCCTCATTATTCCCTCACCTGTATTGTTTGTCGTCGCTGTAGATCGTCGTACGCGAATCCGTTGAGTTACGTTCACGGCGCTCATCAGAAGCGACGTGTTTTGTACTGGATTATAAGACGCACTTCCAATAAACATGGAACGTTCGGCCAACGCTTGGTTTGTGAAAGGAAACATTTCACCAATGCTCCGTGTACTAATCCTGTACTTGATTATTCCCCTGCATCGTATTATAACGTAGCAGTTAGGTAGCTGCGTGTGTGTGTGTGACCAGATTAACATAACCTCATTTCCCTCAGGCACACAAAGCTAATAATACGGATCATTCATGAACATTTTGATTTAAAGCTTTCGTGACTGCAGGCATTCATATTCTTGGTTCTTTCGGTAAAGTCACGTAGAAGGGAAATAATAAAATAAAATATAAAAAATATATATTCATGAACATGTTTAAAGGTGACCTGAAACATCGACCGCTAAACGTAGTCTTGGTACAACTTGTAGTTGAGTCATCGCCTCATCGTCCCAGATTGTGTGTGGAAGAGATGTTAAATACAATAGGTGTGAACCCTAATGGCAGCACTCGAAATTAAATGCATGCGTTTCGATTTACAGTAAGTCCTCGTTTAATGCGGTTAGATGCGTTCTTGAAAAATGCCGCGTTAACTGAAAACAATTTGTCCATAGATAATGTAACGATAGAGTTTGGCGAGATACGACGTAACGTACACAGAGTAAGATGTCGAGACAAATAACTGAGGGTATTGTATCCCGCAGCTCAAGAAATTAGTTCGACCGCCCACAAACCACGTTATAACGGGCGCGTTCCTGCGTTATAACGGGCGCGTTCCGCTTTGTAACAGGCACGTATCGCGTTATAACGGTACACGTATCGCGTTATAACGGTACACGTATCGCGTTATAACGGGTACGTGTCGCGTTATAACGGTGCACGTATCGCGTTATAACGGGTATGTGCGTTATAACGGTGCACGTATCACGTTATAACGGTGCACGTATCACGTTATAACGGGCGCGTTCCGCGTTGTAAGGGGCACGTATCGCGTTATAACGGGTGTGTGCGCTATAACGGCGCACGTATCGTGTTATAACGGGTACGTGTCACGTTATAACGGTGCACGTATCGCGTTATAACGGTGCACGTATCGCGTTATAACGGGCACGTTCCGCTTTGTAACGGCAAAACTTTTACCCTAATGGCAGAACCAGGTTACAGCGTAAACGCGTTATAGTCTGAACACACGTTAAGCGAGGTCTTACCGTACAAACAACTCTCGTTCTAGATTTGAAGTTTTCGTGACTGCAGGGATCCATACTCTTTGGTTCTTTCGGTAAAGTCACGTAGGTTTAAAATAAAATAAATTAAGTCACGACGTTTCGGGCGCGACACAAGCGTCCGTCATCAGGTGGGACAACCACAGCAAGAAACAATTGCTGAAGTGCGCCCGAAACGTCGTGATTTATTTTATTTTACTTTATAGCTACATGACTTTACCGAAACAACTCTCATTTCCGGGCTCCTTTACCATCAACATGTGTGTTTGTTTTGTGTGTGTCCCGCAGTGTCACTGCGTGCACACAGCCGCTGAAAGCCCTCCACCCGGCAACGGGCCACCCAGTGAACCTGCTGCAGGGATGGCCACCATGAACTGTGAGCTACTGGCCACATGCAGCGCCTTGGGGTTCCTGGAGGGAGACACCTACCACAAGGAGCCGGACTGCTTGGGTCAGTGGCGGATCGTTTGCATAGATCCTGCAGCTTGGGTCCTGACCCGGCAAGCATTCAACGTTGCGCCAACGTTGGGGGCGAGGTGGTTGGAACTGTTGGACCAACTTCGGCCCAACGTTCCGTGTTTACTGGGCGGTGCTTCCACGATGTCAGATGGACATCTCAGTTACTTTACAACATCATTTGACGTGTTTCCTTCTTTGTTTACATATCAGTGCAATAGTCACCCTAAATGTATGTTGATGTGACTGTAAGTCATTTTTTTTACTGTTAATGCTTTTTTTAAAGTACAGTAATTTGTCCGAGCCAGATTTAGTTACAAGGAAATTAAATGTATGTGCTGGTACAAATGCCACGGTGTACTCAGACAGACTTGACTATTTCATCCACCCTGGGCTGGCGACGGTACATTCAGTTTCATGTATGTGTCGAACCATTCGACCTAGTCTATAAATAAGTAATATTTTACGAAGCTGTGCATAGTTACAGAACATGCCAATTCATTACTTTTACAGCACACTGCTATGTTGGAGAGTAAACCCACAGATATTTACAATTGGGTTTACTCTCCAACACACAGGTGTGCTGTACTAGTAACGAATTGGAATGTTTTGTTTACGTGACAAACCTTACTAATTGGCTGTGTCGGGTGGTGGCGGGTTTAACGACACATTTATATTCACGCGATCTTACCCAAAAACTTCTTATGGATAATATTGGTCGTGAAAGCCTACTGTTAAACTTTAGTCTTTCTGTTCTAATCTTTGTATTGGCAGCAATGCTATATTGACCTATGACCTGCAAGGAATTCTAAGAAAGACTGCTTTTTTGGATCGCTTTTGTGTAAAAAAAAATAACAACCTTTGTCTCGAGTTATGCGTTGCTAGTGCATGTGGCTTTGCTCTTGAATCTCAGAGTAAAATGCAATCGCTGTATCTAACCCTTTCCCCCGACATGCTGAAGAGACTGTCAAGGACCTGATTCGCTTCCTGCGCCGTGAGGATGACAGCAAGGACATACGCCAGCAGCTGGGAGATGCCATGATCCTGCAGAACGACCTCGTGCCACTCCTGCTCTACCACCACAACGACCAGGTCCTCTTCCAGGCAATAATCAGGTGACTGTGACCGCCGATTGTGTCACGTCGACACCTGAATGATCTCTTGCCTAACCATGGCACGAAATGATCATCAGCGTCATTGTGGAGAATATCAGTAGCAAAATAGATAAGCAGACAACATATCCATATATCTGTCTCTCCACAAACGTGCATGTGATGAACTACGTCACTACAAATCACTGGGCAAATCACTTGAAGGTAGAGTCTGTCTCCCCATCAAAAATCGGTTGTGCAACTGGCAACGCTGCACTTTTAGTCATTTTCATGCAGGGGGCGCTGCAAACCTACGCGCCCCCTGCATGAATGACGGGAGCGCAGGGACAGATGTTCGATTACGTTGGAATCGATCTGCAGACGACGTTCTTCTCGCACGGCCAGCTCTATGTCGCCTTATCTCGATCCCGCAATCCCAAACAGGTGAAAGTCCGCATCGAACCGAACCCCCAGCAAGGCCATCTTCTTAACGACGAGAGAAAATTCACACGAAATGTCGTTTTCAATTAAGTCTTCCAGATGTAAATTGATATAAGCTTTTAATGAAGAAGTACAATGATCTCATTCAAAACATAATATAATTCAATAATGTTTCATTTTAAAACTTCAAAACGGAGCATCGGATGCTGGCGTGAATGCGTCATTCGTGTGCTATTTTTTTGGTGACTTTCCTGGCCGAAGGCTGTAAATGGTTGTGAGGGGCGCTGCAGGCACCCCCAAACAACCCCTAGTCCACACATAAGCGATTAAGTTGCATGCAACCATGATGGACAAAAGATCACCTAGGTGTGCACACACCTTTACACCGCGGCGTTGATGTGAGTGCATACGAGCAGTGGCACCACGTGCCCTTGTGTCCGCGTGCTTGCGGTGGTTGAGCGTGCGTATCTGTGTGCAGGTTGTTGGTGAACCTGACTCAGCCAGCGATCGTGCTGTTTGGAAAGGTCCCTACCGACCCCACCACTCGCCATCATTACCTGGCGGTTACCTGCCACCTGCAGGCGTACAAGCAGGTGGGAAGGGAGCATTGCAGTTGCTGTACAAGAATTGTATCACATTTGGGTCAAAGCAAAAATAAGGGACCATGTTTCTATATTTGTTGCAGCCTTACATCCCTTTGTGCACTTTTAGGTATGGAAGAGGTTAGTCTACTATTCTAAATAGGACGTTTGGCAAGGTGAACATTGTTTGTCATGAAGAGAAGAGGGAGGTCTTAAGCCTGGACTTAACTTGTGGGTAGAGTCAGCATTGTGGAATGTAAGATTGCAGTTCCAGACAGTGGAGACAGCAGTGGAGACAGCAGTGGAGAAGAAGGTCGAGGTATACCGATTGATCTCTTGCACAGGTCGACAATCACCGATTGTTCGCTTGTAGCCCCGCCCACCGCCCCCACGTTCCATTCCCTGGCTACCACATTCAGATAAGCTCATCCCCCCTTAACTTGTATTTAAGGGCTTGTCTCTTGGATTTTTCCTCACTTGATACAGTAAATTTAGCTGTGATGGTCCCACCTGATGACAGAGACTTGTGTTGCCTCCGAAACGTCGTGATTTATTATTTTATTTCTATTCTATTATTTTTCTACCTACGTGACTACCGAAAAAACCTAAGAGTAAGAAGAAACCCCCCCTTTTAACGGAGGTTGACGGGGGGCTTTAACAGGTCTTGCTTGCTGAAACAGAAAACATGTGAATCTGACTTCCTCGTGTGTCTGCTTTCCATAGGCGTTCGCCAACGAGAAGGTATTCACCGTCCTCAGCGAGACCCTCTACAACTTACTTCAGCTGGTCAGTTCACATGAACTAACTCTCGCTCACGCAAACATCTTCACGGCGTAGCGTAGCCTGCATAACTGAACACAAGGCCGTATGCTGTACAATGGTTGTGGAGGCCTCTTTCCACTAATTGCTATGTTCACTGTGCACAGGAATGGGAGCAGAGGCAAGAGGAAGACACGCTACTGATAGAACGTATGCTCCTGCTTGTCCGAAATGTCATGCACGTGCCTCCAGATCCTACCCTGGAGAAGGTACGTATGTCCCAAAATAGGTTTTTTTTTGACAATGAATGTTACGGATTGTGAGTTACGTGAGATTTGATCCTCTTCTGTTATATCTTCTTCATTCTGACCATTATCATTGTCAGCCATGATCAGTCCACTGCTGGTTGAAGGCCTTCCCTAGACGTCGGCCAATCCGAGAAGACTAATTGCACACAATTGACGTGAATATCAAATAATCAGTTCTTGAATGTTTGCATATAGGACATATTTTGCACCATACATAGCCAACCGTGCTAATTTTGGTCCCTCCATATGAAAATTTATATTTTTCACATTCCATCAGCCACACAGCCTTCTTGGAATGCATATATTTAGCATCATTGGTTCAGCACAAGCACACAATGGACCAGTGTTGTCATACACCATCTCATCAGCATAGTTAGGCTTGTGTGAACCAATTCTGGTGAACCTGTTACGATAGAACATTTTGGGCTGCGGCCTCCCTCACAACGTTTCGACTGCACGTGTTCCCCAGAACGTGGATGACGACGCCAGCTTGCACGACCGCGTGCTGTGGGCGCTGCACATGAGCGGCATGGACGACCTGCTGCGCTTCCTGTGCAGCGCGCCCAGTGAGCAGCAGTGGTGCATGCATGTGCTGGAGATCGTCTGCCTCATGTTCCGCATGCAGGTGCTGCCACGTGCACACGCATGTCTACACCTATGTAATATATATAATGATAACCTTGGTGAAATAAAAAGCGACTTAATATGTAAATGTGATACATTTAATTGTCATGGATGTAACGGGATTTTCCTTGAAAGAGATACTTACTGCGGCACTTTTGAACGTCACATAAATGTGGCCAACGCATCTAAAAGTACGTCACGTATATTTGTCAATGTATCTCAAAGTGCAAGAGTTTGTCCGTCGTCTTGACAACAAATTTACTAGAGGTGCGAAAATTTTTGTATTTGCCTCGTGAACAAACCAGCGTTGTTGCACGCTCGTTCACCGACCGGTGCGAGACATCGCGTGTGGGCGGTTTTCCCCGTCTTCCAGACCCCATCTCAGCTCGTGAGCACGGGCGGAGCGAGGCCGGAACGGGAGAAGGAGGCCGACACCACGGAGCTGGAGCTGCTGCGGCAGAGAGAGCTTGCCGAGAAGCGCAACCGAATGTGGCACCGGAGCTCCAGGTGCGGCGCGCGCGTGGTTACGGGCGACAGCTCGGGCAGCTGTCCCGCGTTACTTTGGTTTGTACCGCGTAATGGTTCGGCTTCTTTGCGTAACGTGCTGGGCTGCACCCGGAGCTACACACACGTCGGACATCCTGTCCAGCAACGCGCAGTGCAATCCGGAAACGCGTCGGAAAGTTATTCAGCGCAACCACGAAACATATGCGGTCAACCTGCTCGGTCACTGCGCACAGTGTGAAACATAGGCATGAGGCTTGTAACGATGCGTCGATTAATTGATGCACATCAATCGGGTTGAGATTTCCACATGGGTTTTTTGTCTCGTGACATGATGCCTATAACACAATCTCGATACAATTGGGGAAAAAGACAAAACTGTATTAAAATCACCCAGCACATCCAACTGTACTTCCTTCAGCAATATTTGCGTTGATCATATCGTGTTTAATTGTTGGGCCAGGTAGTATCTTCTGCGTTCATTCACACATTTTTCACTGAAGTTTTAAGTATTAACTTTACAATTGCTTGAACACTTATTGGGATACATTAGTCCCCTCTGTCCACCTCTAGATTCAAAGTTGGACGTGTTTGTGTTGGCAGGCACTCTCGGTTTGTGGGCACGTACGTGGTCCAAGGTCACAAATCCATCAGCGATAACGACCTGGTGTTTCACCTGGGCGTTCAAAAGGTGAGATATCCCAAGGCCACAACACGTTTGCGTCGCATTCCACCACGGGCCTTGGCAGGATATTGAAAAAAGTTATGGTTATTTGTTTAAAGTCACAACAAAATGAAGCTCAATAAAACTGTTTTTTGTGCGATTGTAATGATTGTGAAACAGATGATCAATACAACACATAGGAGGAAGATTGCAGCTTTTGCATAGGATTACTGTAATTCTTGGACAGCACGTAGAAGCTATGAAAGTGTACGACCAGGGATTAGTGAAAATGCCAGATGGAACTCAGATGTTGGGAAACTATAAAGATGGGAATTAAAGTATTTTGACAACAGAGCTATCGGTGTGTTGGGGACACCTGCAAAAATATAGATTTTTATTTTTAATGGAAGGAAAAAGGAACTGAGATAGACAGAATCAGATGAACAGAAAGTATTATAAATTTCACCAGGACAGTTCACCAAAGTTATAGCAGAGTGGAATAGCTTTAACATCGAGGTCACGGATGCTTGGTAACGAGTAGAACAATTGATGAGGATTTAATTTAAAACCCTTGTCCTTGCCCGTGCCACTCTGGCGGTTTTCCTGCAGCTGGCGGGATACAGCCACGACATCGGCAAGGAGCCCCAGCGGAGACCCAAACGGCGCCTGCTGGCGCCCGAGGCCGAAGAGCGACGCCGCTCGGCCATGAACGTGCGACTCTTCCTGCGCACATTCTGCATAGATTTCCTGGATGGCTGCTACAACCGCCTCATGTACAATGTGAAGGTGCGGCAGTCGTAGCGTGCTCACAGCCACCAATGTTTTAGAATATTACAAAATAGTGGAGTAGCATGCGGCACCTCGGGCACAGAGGCGTTTTAAACACTGCAACGAGCGGACAACGTGACAGACAATGTGATGCTGTTGGATGCAACTGTGCCGCGGTAGAGAGAACGGCCTATGATAGAATAGAGACTTCACATAACTACTTCTGAGGTCCCTTCCATTGACTCTTTGCCACACACGGGGTGCTGCACACGGCCATCCATGGGGCGTGTTAATTGCACGGCAAACTGAAAATGCAGCGTTGGGAAGATTTCAAACTAACTGAAAATATTTTTTTTCTAATCAATATTTAGTGGGTCATATGTAATATGTGCACAGCCCTTTTAGAAATTTCCTGCTGGATGAGGGCCTCCCCACATTGTGGGTCGTAGGGGTTATTTTACCATACTTCACCACGCTGATGCAGCACGGGTTGGTGAAGTGTGGACTGAGGACCCAATCAGATATCACTCGCCACTGGTGTTAGCTGTGGCCGGGAATTGAATTCCACTCACTGGGTTCAGAGCGACAGTGCACGAACCACCCTTCTAGTGCTTCACCCCAAAAGTAAATATGGCAATGTACATAAAAAGAGCCATGTGGAAGGAAGCCTGCTTCCTAGTTCGTTGTCTTTCCCCCGCATCTCTGATGCGCACAGTTGGCTACGTACGGTGTGAAATAAGTTCAACATAATACCAGCGCACCCACACAATCACGCTGTCCTGCTGTGGGCGACAGGACACACTGCTGCTCGAGAAGGGGCAGCAGAATGACGAGAGCTACTACATGTGGGCGCTCGCTTTCTTCATGGAGTTCAACCGGCTGCGAGGGTTCCGCCCCGAGCTGGTGTCCGAGACAGTGGGTGTGCGCACGTTCCACTTCATCGAGAAGAACCTCACCAACTGCTACGAGATGATGCTCATGGAGAAGAAGGACGCCCTGCCGTGGTCCCGCAGGTGTGTGTGCGCGCGAGTGTGTGTTTGTTCCTCGCATGTAATGATCATATCTTCCTTGTGTGTATGACGGGATGATTAACACGTTTTTATCGACGAGGAGGGAATTCGATAGTCGAGTAGTGTAAGAAAAGAAGTATAAAGATTTGTGTTTTGATCTGCAGTTTGGTGGTTGAACACAGGATGGATGAAACAAAACAGTGGTAGGCCGGAGGAAATCAATGAGTAGTTCGTGGGAACCATTCCCATAGCTGTCGTGATAAAGCGACTGACTGGCAACGAGCAAGTGACTGGAGTGAATCAGTGAGTGCTGGATCATCAATCAACTTGCTCCAGATTGTCTGGTTGATTGATGGTAGAAGTCTATATATCCATATTAGTTAGCCAGACAAAGGCTTAGTTGATGTGCCTTGGATTGCTTCGATGGCTCCATCGCATTTTCGGAGTTCACGGTGGTTCACTGCTATGTAGACGATGGTGTCGTCAGTGCTTCCACAAGATTTGAATTCGTTGATTACAATTATTTTATACAGTCTTGATAGTTGATTGTGGTTGCTTTATGGAAACCCTGCAGCCACTATTGATTATACATACTGCACAATTAACCAAACAAATCAATTTTCTAAATGAATCATGACCATGAATCGTGATCATTTGTAAAATGGTAGTGGCTGAATTGCTGCATCTGAGAGTCACTCGTGAATCTTGATACGCACGGAGAAGTGAATGTGGGAGCACATGAGGTTCCTGCTGTGTCGTGACGGTGTGGCTGCGTTGGGATCGTGTGTGTGTGTGTGGCAGGATGCACCTGGCCCTGAAAGCCTACCAGGAGCTCATCATGACACTGGAGGAGATGGACAGGTCCAAGGAGGAGAGCGTGCGGGAGAGCGCCAAGGTCATTAAGAGTGAGTCGCTCGGCAGTCTATGTATGTTGAACTGCTTCAACACCGTATGTCGTCAACCGTGCTAGTCAGAGGGGCAGTGTGTTCGTTTACTGCATCGCGCGCTTTCAGATGCGCTTCTGCAGCCGTCTGGAACGCTCTTCCTTCCGATGTTAGGAAGCCACTGGAGATATGCACTTTTAAATCGAGATTGAAAACTCATTTCTTTTGAACTGCTTTTTGTGTTTAGTTTGTTGTCCTTTTCCTTGGCTATGTACGGTGCAACAGAAGTTCCACATACATTCCCTTCATCCCAAGGCGACGCTGCAATAATGCAATGCTCATTGTCGTCGGCGCCACGCAGGCAACCTGTTCTACGTGATGGAGTACCGCGAGCTGTTCGTGACTCTCTTCCGCAAGTTTGACGAGACGAAGCAGCCGCGCTCGTTTCTGCGCGACCTCGTGGAGACGACGCACACCTTCCTGCGCCTCCTACAGCGCTTCTGCCGCGGCCGCAAAGCCGTGGTCGTGCAGGCACGTGGGCCCGTGCGGGCGTGTGCGTGCTCACGTGTGCAGACGTTTTGTCGAAACATGGCCATCCAATGATTTATGCATTGAAATTGTATTATTGTTAATAATCATGATTTACCACTTGTCAATGTACTGCTGGATGAAGTCCTCCCCATGTCATGTTTGTAATGCGGATCGTTTGGTTATACTTCATCAGGATTGTCAATGTGGGTTGGTGAAGAGGTGGTCATGACCAGTTGAGATATCACCCACCACTGATGTTAGCCGCGGCCTGTATGTTCATATTCATGTTTGCCATTGCTTAGAAATCGTAAAATAATGATAGTAATGTAATTTATTTATCCAGCAAAGTCTCAAGGTTCTTTTCATGAGGGTCCTGCTGGATCACAGGCATACACCACCAAAACGGCGAATGTAGAAACTCAATTCCTTGAGTACCTTCGACCTGGCGGCTGATAACTTTGGACCATTTTGCTCTCTCACTCACTGGCTCGCTGCTGCTGTTTCTCTGGGATCTGCTCGCATTGCAGAAGAAGCGAGTGAAGCGCAAAAAGAAGAGCAGAGCGCAGGCACAGCCGTCCAGCAGTGAGAGGAGCCCTGAGGAGTGCGAGGCCCAGTGGCAGCAGCTGTCGCAGCAGCTCATCGCCTATGCACAGGTGAGCCAAAGGGGCCACACACACAGGCAGGATGGGTATTGCATCAATCCATCAAATTAAGTTAATTGGCAGGTTGTTTGTGGTGTAGTTAACGGTGGGTAACCTCTACGTCTGCAAAGCATGGAAGAGTAGGCCAAAAACCCTCAAGAGAGGCTCTATAACCTTCCCTTTAATAGAGGCGTTTCCACCAGCAGTGTGAGCAAGCAATTGTAGGGCGGCACCTTTCACCGTAATCCATGCAGTGGCGTGAGCTCCAGGTTTTGGAGGTCAATGTTCAACCTATGCGTGCACTTCTTCCTCTCGGCACAAGGTCCCGTGATGTTCCCCGTGTTCGGCTGATGGTCTTGCTGTGAAGAAGGGCCATTGCCCAAAAAGTCAGCTATTATACATTTTATTATTTTGAGGCAATGTTATTGACAATTGTGTTCACTAGCTCATGGCACTGCTGGTGAGATTTTAAAATCGAGGTGATGTGGCCCTCATTCACCAATACGATTGAGACGTGACAATAATAAGTGCCATCCGAATTGTTTATTCCCCAACTTTGTATATAAACTGTTGTGGACATTTACAAGCAGCTATAGCACCCACCAAGGTTACGAGAGGGTGAAATCACACAGGGTGCGGAGGCCGTGCCGGACAGCGCGGTGCCGTTTGATGCGGCGTCGGAGGTTCCTGTGGAGGAGCAGCGTGGGCAAGCCACCGCTCGTATCCAGGCGGCGCTGCTCGCCGGGCAAGCCGGCACCGCGGTCGGCCTGCTGCGCTCCGCGAGGTGCGTGTACCCCCCCCCCCCCCCCCTCCATCGTCGCCACCACCAGTCGGCTTACTCCAGCATTCCCATTTTGCGAGCGGTATTGGTTAAAAGACAAAAAGGCCCCCAAACAGTAGCTCTTATTTAGTTAATATGTAGCATGTAGCCATTTGTCGATACATTATATGACGTGTATTCTTATGCTCGTGATATGTATGCATCAAATCGTGAAAGTAAATTACTGATTAGTTTTTATATTTTTGCCAATTGTACTTGTGAGATGGTACGTATGAGGTAAAATAAATCGTTAGTTCTAGACTTGAACCACAAACTACTTGGAATTGTTACTTGTCTAATGCCTGTGTGTCCCCGAATGTACGTCTTGCATTTGAAGCTTCGTTTATGAGAAACAGATATTTTAAAGTCCCTTTTCAGCTCTAGTGACTTCTCTTTGGCATCACTTGGACTGGTTCAGTGATGTTACAAAAGCTCTGGACTTTAACTGCAGTCATAATTTCTCATTTACGAAACTTGAAATTCTTGTCGGACAGCCCCGGACTCTGCCTAGGCATGTTAACTACATCGCCTGGTATACAGGAAGTCGTGGGTTCCATCCCGACCCTTGACGCCTGCTCTATATTTTGGAGTTTGCTTGTTCTCCCCGTGGTCGCGTGGATTGTTCTCTTGGCCCTCCAGTTTTTCCCTCCAAATTTGGAAACATGCATTTCGACAAATTGGCTGCTATAATTTTCCACATGATAAACCACTTCATTAAGCTATCATTTGTGGCTGGGTCATTTCTGAAAAAGAGCTGTATTGCTCAGTGGGCTTTACCTGGTAAAAAAGGTAAATATATGGGGAGTGTAGCGGTTAGCGTCCTGCGCTACGAACCCGACTGCAGGAGTTCGATTCACGCTCACAGCCAACACCAGTAACGATTATCTGAACCACGTGATTAAAAATCACTTAGTTGAGCTATAATTTGTGGCCAGGTCACTTTTGAAAAAGAGCTCTATGGCTCAGTGGGCCTTAACTGTAAAAAATAGTAAATACATTGCATGTAGTAGACACCGGCATAACTTGCTTATGAATAGAAAATATTGGTAATCAGATAAAGGCAGACCGTGATAGTCACGAGGACTGGAATTGAGAAACACTGACCCAGAACCCAGCAGGTGGCTTCTGTATGTGTGATATGGGATGGGCTTTGTGTGCTGTTGGTTATTGTAGGGAGGTCTGGCCCGAGGGCGAGGTGTTTGGGGCGGTGGGGATAACCCCGGAGGATGAGCTGGAACTCCTGCGACAGATCCATGCCGCAAAGCTGCCCTGTACGTACGTGCACACACACCTGCATGCACATGTGCGTGCATAAGGTGCAATCGTAACCAGACAAATGCACATGTACGAGTTTCAGTGAGCTACATCACTCAAATATAAACTCGATTTGCCGTTCTGGCAGCAGGTTTATCTATTTATTGGTCAACCCCACTTGGCTTCCTGGCCTGGCCCGAACTTTTGTACATCACAATATTTTTTTTATAGGAAGCCGCTCGGCAGTGTGGGCCCTCTCGGCCTGTGCTCAGGACCTCATTTTCAAAGCAGAGAGGTAGATGTGCAATGTAGGCGTGCGCGGTTTGTTGGTGTGCCAGCTGCCCTCTCGGCATCGGTGGTTGAAGACGTACCGGCGGAGGATGACGTTGGGCCGGAGGAGATGGAGGAGGAGGAGGAGAACGAGGAGGTGGCGGCCGTGTCCGTCAGCGAGAAGGAATTCAACTTCACGGAATACATTAAGCGGTGCGGGGACATTCTCATTGAAACACACCTGGGCGAAATGACATATTCCTCCACTGAAAAATGATGGCAGTTTTCCCCTATTAAAATGTTCCTGGGACTTATGAAGTGAAGTGATGCAATTGTACTTGAGTGGTACACGTTGCTCAACGCCCCTTCGTAGGCACCAAGGGTCACGTGACCGCCCCGTCACCGCGTGCACGGCGCTTTTTTTTTCTGTCAAGCGAACTCGAGCTGCGCAAAAATACTGTGATGCTCATTATTACACATTAAATCTTAAGGTCGTGAGTTCATAGTTTTTAAAACAGAAAAAGGGAAGCGATAGTGCAGAGGATCTTTTGTATCTTTTGGTTATCCAGCAATTGTAGTTGATTTAAAATAGATGTTTTATTTTCTCTTGTAAAATTTTTACTTGGTTTTAACATATTCACCTCCTGTTGTTTTTTGGACATTTAGCAATGGAGATAAAGTGGCCAGGCCATCATGTATGTATAGGTACACTGTATGTCCTATGTAAACATGGGATATAAAGTGTGAAATTCTGCGAATACCACCATCTAGTTCTCTCACGATAAATAAATAAATACCACATGGTTTATAAAATGACTTGAATGTGTATTTAAGAAAATGTAGGTTTTGGCAGTTCAATCATACCACACATTCATCACTATGTCATGTTGGCAACGTTATTAAAATGACTTTGGCAGCCACCTGTGGCCACTGATTTATTTTTCTTAAGATAGATGACCTCTAAAACCGGGTGAGAGGCCGTTGGGAAGATTTGTGATGCAGTGGTTAGCGCTCTGTGCTAAGAACCCAACGACCTGGGTTTAGTTCCTGACCACGGCTAACATCAACGGCAAACAAAATCTGAACCGGTCCCCTTCACTAACCCACACTGTAAAACAACCCTTATGGCTGACTTGGCGTGGAGAGGCCTTCCTCCAGCAGTGGATTTCACAAAAGGGCTGTAATAAGTATACCACGCGGATGCACAGTTTGTTTTGATCGTTGGTGTGCGGTGGTCACCCGTTCTAACGACTGACATGTTGGCACTTTGCAGGTTCGCGAGCGCACCCGTGATGAAGGCATGCATGTCTCTACTGCGGGGCTACCGTGAGAACAGCACACACACCAACCACTGCATCGTGGTCATTCTCCATCGTGTCACCGTGGGGCTGCACATGGAGGGGCTCCTCTTCCAGCTCTCCGCGTTCCGCGTCTTCGAGGCCATACTGGCGGACCCCGCCGCTCACGTGTACCAGGTAACAGTTGCATGACAGCTCAACCATCCAGCAACAAATTGTTAACAAATTCACGATTGGTGGCAAACCGATTCACATCGATTATTTTTCGGCTGCGTTTTTACCAACTTGTTGGGTAGATGGGCGGGTTTAAGGAAAGGGCCGTCATGGCAGACACAGCACCAACAATAAGCACTAGGGACAGCCGGCACAGCCAGGCCAGCACCAACGAGCCACAGGTCATTCTCATGGGGGGACCTTCACTGATGAGTCTCATGGCATTAAACGTGAACATATGGGCAGTGCATGAGTCACAGTAACATTTCTACAGAGATAAAATGTCCATGTAACACTCAGGCACATTGCGTGGTTTTTTTGTCGCAGGAGCTGTCCAAGTTCGCGTGTCACATTGTCCGTAAGTTCTTCGAAGTGGCGGCACAGAACAACAAGAGCTTTGTGGAGCTACTGTTCTGGAAGTCGCCGGCCAATGTGCACGAGATGACCGAGGGCTACGGATCGGCTCATGATGGAGGGTGAGGTGCAGTCGTCAAACTCGGTATTTGTCAAAAAAATATTGCGAATATTTGTCCACTTTCATCACCCCGAATGTCTGTATGCGCGTTCCAATTGGTGCTGGTGCGCGCGTGTGTGCAGTGGCTTGAGCAAAAAGGGCCCACGCTGGACGGAGGAGGAGCAGGCAGAGCTTGACAAGCTGTTTTCAGAGTTCCAGGACCAGATTGGAGGTCAGTTGTGGGATGTTATTAACGATTCTCCGGACCACTTCTGCTGTGATAATGTCAATTATGAAGATTCTATTGAAGAATTTGTTACTTTTTACATGGTTTTTTACGTCTTGATGGTCATACCACCCTCTTGTATGCCGTGTCAGCTTTCATAGGTGCTCAATAATAATATTTGCCCCAACAGTCTGTAAAACTACACGGGGGAACTTTATGTGAATCTGTTCGTGTGTCTGTCGTGAACACAGGTGGTGCATATGCCTGTCATCTCTGAGAATATATAAAACAGCTGGATCTGTGTGTGACCTGCCAATGAGCCTTTGACACTTCATGTGGCCTCAAAATGTACCTCGCCCAGGACAAATACTGTGGTGAAGTCACCGTCACTTAGCAGCGTATGGCAGCTGTTTTTGTTGTGTACCTGTGTGTATCTTTGTGCATATGTGTGTGTGTGTTTCTCTCGTGTGCTGTGTACCAGGGAGTCAAGATAAGGATGTTGTAGACCACATCATGGAGCGCATCGTGGATGCAACGAGGACGCGCAAGCAGATCGTGACCCAGCTGGTGCGGCAGGGTCTGGTCAACTCGTCCAAGGAACTCAAGCGCAGGTCACTTGGGAGCACCACGTCACACCCACCAACCACACCCTGCCGTAAATCACCCACTGCCCCTAGCTGAATGCCACTTGCGTGGTTGAGAGTGGGCTTGGGCAGGACATGTTACTTGAAATTTGATGGTCGATGATCGATACCAATGACGGAGTTGCAGCCAAAGGAGGGAACATGCCCGAGCGTTTGTCCACTGTAGAGATGGAACAATTAATTCGGCTCAAGTGCAGGAGCTGGTTGGATGTTCCATCATGAGACCATGAGAAATGGCAACTGCTGGGGAGGCCTTGGCCAAATTTGGTTGATCATGGCTGATGACAATCGGGGCCTTTATTCTTCACTGAATATTTCCCAAGTAACTGGTGCCTAGAGTAGGTGGAACCTGACTAGTAATCACGTTCATAGCAAGAGGCATTCTGATTGTGGTGTTCCGGGTGCAGAAATGTTTTCTGGGTTGCCCATCCTGAGACCCAGCTGACATTAATCCCTGATGATGAACTGGCGAGGGATTGGCCTGCAGTGGGCTGTGGCACTGTGTTCGGCACAAGCGTCTTTCAATAGCTGTTCCACCTGGGCGGGGGGGGAATGCTCAATCTCGCAGGGTGAATGCTACGGATGCTGTGCGGTGGGCTGACGCCAGGTGTTTTCTTCACCTGGCAGGAAGGGCGCCAAGCTGGTGCTGTGGCGCGAGGAGCAGGAGATGGAGCTGCAACGTCTCTTCGAGGAATTCCACGAATCCGATGGTGACCGCTTGGCGCAAGCACTTGGCTTCAACCACGCTCTCACTGCAGTCACTGGCTTACCGGCATTCATTCGCCTCTATACCACTCTTCTATCGCGACTGTCGTAGTTACCGTTCCCATGAACTTCACTCGTTGATTCCTCCACCCGTGTTGAGGACTCGGTCTACCAATTGGACTGTTTTGTCTCATCCAACACTGTGACCATCACACTGTAGGTCACAATTCTCTTTCTGCTTCTTCCTTCGCACTAGATTTGAAGTTTTCGTGACTGCAAGGATTCATACGCTTTGGTTTTTTCGGTAAAGTCACGTCGGTAAAAAATTCTAATAAATTAAATCACGACGTTTCGGGCGCAACACAAGCGTCCTTCTTCAGGTGGGGACAATTTAGCAAAAGCACACCGTTTAAGTGCGTTTACATTTTTTACCAAAGAGTATGATGATTCCTTCGCACTGCTCCATTTTGGAATTTCCTCCCATCGTCTCTTTCCCCAAGCTCGAATAACCTTGCTCAATTCAAGACACATGTTAACGCTTACCTATCACAACTTGAGAGGAAAGTGCTGTTTGTTGCTGTCTGCTTGACGTATTTGCACCGTTGGGTTATTTGCTTGGCAACTGTGTTGAAAAAAAACAACCACACATAATAGAGTCATTTAATTGAGTAGTTTAAAAAGTCACCATGACTCCGACTGTTATTGCACACAGCTGGTATTATATTTAATAAGAATTATGTAGTTATTCACTGAGGGATGTATTGTGGTGTCATGGTTATTAGACTTGAATTTGCAAACCAGATATTTGCGGGTCTCTCTCTTGGCACAGCAGTGGAAACATTGACCCAATTTCTGAAGCCCGCCCCCGCCTTTGCCCATCCATGAATAGTTTCACCACAGTCGATCGGCAGGTCATGTGTGGTAGGTGTAAAGTGTGGGTACTGCATACTCTTCCCAAGACGTCTGGCCATCGTGGAAGAATAGGCCAAAATATCCTCGAAAGGGCCTTATCAATGCTCCCCTTAGTAGAGCCACTTCCGCCAACAGTGACGTAAACAAGTAAATTAGAAACGTACGTTTAGATTATTTAGATTATTTTGCTGCTTGAAATTTCCACATAAGCCACTTTGTTGAGCTATCATTTGTGACCAGGTCACTTCTGAAAAAGAAGCTAATAGCTCGGTGGGCTTTACCTGGTAAGATAAAAAAAAAAAAGATTTAGTTTTGTATATTTTTTGCACTCCTATCGTGTTTTTGTATCGTTTGTTATTTTAAAGTTTTGACCCTGCCCCTCCTGGACATCTGTGGAAAAGGGCTTTACAGCTCATCGGATTTCTCCAGTGTAGATACATATTTTGATTCATGGGGGAGAGCCTCGCCGAGTCTCGTGACTTGTCAGGAGTGTCTACCACTGGCACTGTGGCCGATTAGTTTTTAATGAGTTTTTTTGCGTAGCTTGAACATTTGATTAGGACCAGGCTATTTCCATCTTAATTTTGAATAAGCATTAATTATGTATCTATGATCAGAGGAAGTGATTAAAGACTCTAAACTGTAATTATGGTTCTTCATCAAATTTTTATTTTTCCTTATTCAAACACTGTAATTTGCTTATGATTAAATCATCTGGAATGCGCTTGGTCTTGTAATGTGTCCGACGATAGGCAAGTTTGAACTTGAGTAGTTCTCGGATGGGCCATCACCATGCCTCACAGGTGTTGTAGGCTAGCAGAGGTCAGTATGGTCAAATAACTGCCAAAGACCTGCTCAGCATGGGGAGGCTTTCATCCAGCAACGGACTAACAAGTTGGACAGTATAATGTCGCATATCCGACTTGATGGGGACTTAGATGTAGGCATATGTGTGAACATGTAGAGAAAATTAGTACTCAACAAAATGTGTTTGCAAATCGGTTCGAACATGTAAAAATGCTTTACTGTAAGCAGATGTACATAAGATTAAGAATTCAGCACTGTGTGTGAAAAAGGTCGAATTTGTGAATGTATGTAGAGTGTCACAGTTTCACTGCGATTGGTGGGGCCGCTTAAATGGTCAAGACAGGTATGGAGCTGTTGGACGTGCAACACATTGTACTGCACATGTACTTTCATTTAAACGCGTAAATGCGCGTGTTGTTGCTGGAGCTTCCGTTTGACTGTGGTGCCTGGTCGTGCGGGAGGGGGGGGGGTATTTGACGGCCCTGATGGTGGTAAGTGTTCTTCTGACCTGCCACAGACTTGCTGGACAACATCGTGCGCAACCTGACAGCCAAGAGGTCGCGCAAGAAGGTGGCGGACAAGCTGCTGAGCATGGGCCTGGTGTCTGACCGGGCACAGCTGCGCCGGAAACGCCCATCGAAGAGCTCCGGAAAGTCCTCTGGCAAGGTTGGCAGCACTTCCGCTTGCACACAAATGCAGCGCTGTTGCAGTCCTGAGAATAGGTTTTCCACTTTTTTCTGGCAACAAAACAGGTGTGAAGATGTTTAAACACCAAACTGAAACCTTTTACAAGGAATCACGTCTGCATTAACCACAATACTTGTGGTGAGAATGCAAACAAAAAACATACTCTTATAGTATATGCATTGTCTTTGAAACGGATTGGTCCATACCAGAGACAGCTTTCTTTCGAGCCTAGTCTCAAACGGTGTTCAACCAGAGGACACCAAAAGGCCAAAAGGCGTGCTCTGGTCTAGCTCCGCCTTTTGGCGTCCTCTGGTCTAACACCGTTTTAGACGAGGCTCAAAAGAAAGCTGTCTCTGGTGTGGACCAATCAGTTTCAAAGACAATGCATATACTATCAGAGTATGTTTTTTGTTTGCATTCTGACCACAAGTATTGTGGTTAATGCAAACGTGATTCCTTGTAAAAGGTTTCAGTTTGGTGTTTTAACATCTTAACTCCTGTTTTGTTGCCATAAAAAAGGGGAAAACCTATTCTCATATTTTGGTACTGGCAAAGGAGTTCCCATGATATTGCAGTCCTGTGCACCTCATTTCTTTGGGCATGTGTGTGTGTGCATTTTCTTATTTTTTGTAGCGCCAGGGTGTGAGGGATGATGATAACTTGGGGAGGCTTTCATCAAGAGGTGTATAAATCATGGCTCATGGCGATACTGATGATGATGATTTTATTTTAGAATTTATTTACTTAGGAATGCATTTATTAGAATTCACTGCCTTTTTACATCCATACATTCAATACACAAATCTTATTACTTTCTGCTTGTGATGGATTACTACCTATATTCACTCCATGTTTTCTAAGAACCAATTACAAGCAATACACGTGACTCAAATATAAACAATCTTCGCCCTTAAGATTTGACGTATCCATTGTGAAGTTACGAATTATTTTATATCAATGAATCGGTCATTATATCCCTCTTCGTCGGACATTATCTAGCATATATTAGGGCCTTGAGACAATTATGCGTGTGTGCATCTGTGACTGCATTTGTTTTCTTGTCATTGCACCTATAGGCCAACTCAAACAACAATGCCGACCCATGGGGCCATGACCACGATCATCTAGATGTGGATTCCGACGACGAGAAAGAAAGCAGCGAGGACGAAGGGAGCAGCGATGACGATCAACCTATCCAGCGAGCCGGGGCAAGGCCCGCCCAGGCAGGGCCCGCCCAGGCAAGGCCCGTCCGCCCCGGGAAGAGTCAGGGAGTCAACCGGAATGCTCGCAGAAAATCCCGACCGCTTGTGAAAACCAGCCCTGCTGAGCTGCGCAAGCTGGTGGCGAAGGCTCGCAAAGGAGGTGCTATTGCGTCCCGAGTCGGTGCCGTAGCTAATGAGCGTGCAGGCGGTGTAACTGCTCTGGGGCCCAAACATAGGGATACAGAGAAGGGGAGGAGGGGGGATGGCATGCCGACCGTGCTACACCACTATTCCGAGTGCTTTTATTTAAATTATTTCTGACAGCATTTAATACGAGATGTCTTAATTTTGGAGCTTTCGTGACTGCAGGAATTATTCTTTGGTTTTTTCGGTAAAGTCACGTATAAAAATAAAATAATAAATTAAATAATAGTATGCTATTAATTTATTTATTATTTTATTTTTATACGTGACTTTACCGAAAAAACCAAAGAATAATACGAGATGTGTTACGCTACTGACTTTTCTGATGCCCTGTGTGTGTGTGAATTTCTTTGGCAGGGCTGGTGGAGCCGGTACTGTGGCTTGGAAATTGCCTGAGACGGACGGCCGATGACCGGGAAGAGGACGGTGGGACACCATAGTCCTTTTGCTTTTTAGACATTTTCCCCAATTTTATATTGATTCTGAAAATGGCGTCGTATCACGAAGTACGCATTCAGCTCTCTTGTAGAGCAGTAGCACCCTTCTTGGTAGAGAAGAACCTACAGAAGCACAGGTATCACAAAGCTAACTCTGAGATCCCTTCATATGACCTCTGGTCCACCTGCCGTGCCACTTAGAGTAATTTTTACCGCATGACATTCACACCAATAAAACATTTTTTATCTCAAAGCTGTCATTGGTAGCTGAGCTGAGACCTATCAACTCACGATGCTTAAAATCCTGTTTAACCGCAAGTTGGGCGGCTGAAACCCGGATCTGAACACAGGAACTCAGTGGTGCCAGCTCGGCTCTCTGGCATCCAAGCTGCCCGGCCAAAGACAGCAGAGACCGTTCAGTCAGCTGCCCCCTGCGAAGCTCTTGCGTGATGTTGAGTGGTTCACTGGTGACATCTATCTAACCCCCGTCCACTCTGACATGCAGGGATCTCCCTGCCGGTGCCAATGGTGCCGCTCTCGGAGGAGAACGAGGACGCCATGGAGAACCGGGTGTTCCGTCGGTTGCTCCGCGCGCTGGGCGTGTGCTCGCCGGCCAATCACGAAGTACGCTGTTCCTCCCTGTCACGGTGACCAGTGGCGATACTTTGCAATATGGTTTGGATTTATATATCCCATACAATAATAATAATATCTGTGAATTGTCTTCCCTGTTATGCAAATGCATTTAATTATTGCATCTGCTATGATTTATATTTGCCTGGTTTTTATTTGATTTTGTTATTTTGGTGATTCAGATCTCTTTTGCATATGAGACTATCCTTGTCTCTTGAGCTGTCAACTGCTTAATTTAAATACACTTAAAGTGCTTATTTCTGTGCGTGTGGACAGGAGACGTTTTGGAGAATACCGGCAGAACTGACTCCTGGCCGCTTGCGCGAGATCTCCGATTGCCTGAGCGCCCCCACGGATGATGATGGCGATGATGACAACGCTGACGTTGGTGGCGGTGACGGCGCCGACAGCGGAGACAATGACGAAGTCAGTGACGATTCGGCCGCTGAAGGAGAGGCGCAAGATGAGAGCTCCGACGAAGAGGAGCTTTCGTGGGGAGCGGCGGCGGACTCTGTGCCGTCCCCCGTACGACGCGGGATAAACAGCGACACCAGCCGAGTGTCGTCCCCACCCCCGCTGTCCACTCATGCCCGCGTCCCCGACGATGACAGCGACAAGGATGACGATGACGGGGGACATGGCGTCATATCGCAAAGTGGCGGACGACGTGCCGAGGCCCTGCAGGCCCTCCTGAAGCGGCGCAAACAGAGGGAACCGCGATCACGCCGTGGTAAGCGTCCCCAGATTTTCTTTCAGCCCATCGGTTTATTTTTCAAATTATAATCAGTTTTGGCAGAGTCATGATATCATAATTAGCTATGATTGGTCTACACCTGGATGAAGGTCACCCCATGCCATCACCGTCTTCCATGGTCCTGTGATGGAACAATCTATCTAGCTCCTACACAAGATCGAAATTCTTCGGTCTCGAATGCGTTTCCTCCTCTGACACTCCATTGTTAGTCTCGATCATAGACTATCAACTCTTCTTTCAAATGTGTTCAGCCCAAGCCTTTTACTGGTGGGACCCTCCTTGTTCCACCAGCCCACAGGGGATTATTGTGTCCGTCCGTCCGTCGTGCATCCAAAAATGGGAGGGGTGGGGCTGGGTGGAGAGGGGAGGTTGGGGAGGGAGGGGGTGGGTGGGGAGGGGCTGGGTGGTGGGGGGTGGGGCTGGGTAGGGAGGGGCTGGTCACCCCGTGGTGCCCTTATAAAACTCAACGTTTAACCTACTCACGCCGGCTTGTGCCCGCCCTCACAGTCGGGCATATTTGCGGAATTCGCCACGACGACGTTGACCCTGGCCATTGACCGAGCAACCCAACGTTCCTACCAGCTCCCTCCGCAGGAATGTGTTCTTAATATGGTGTCTCTGACTTGGGTTCATCTTTCTGTCACTCAGTGCTAAAATGTCGTACCCAAGAGGTGGTAGGAACTCCTCAAAATGTGACTGCAGGCATTATAGCTTTACAGTGATAATAATCATAAATAATGCCATTTATTTATCTGGAGAGCCTCACCTTGTCTCAAGACTATCATGCTTAGAATACTTGTAATGTGGAATGTAACCAATGTATTCGGAGCATTCAGAATCTCTATTTAGACTGGAGGAATCCGATGAGCTATGAAGCTCTTTTTTTACAGTTGTCCACTATGGACAGGTCAGCAAGCCATGCATAGCACATTGTTTCACGAGGACATGTAACGATTTCCCTGCCTTGCAATGGCATACATTTCCACAATCGTGGATAGAATTTCAGTCAAGAACTGATTCCCCTTTTAACAGATTTGTGAATGCCGCGCCTCTTTGTGGCTACAGGAATCGTGTGAACCACTTGCATGTAACGTAGACAATTTCAAATAATCGATTGTCATACGCACGATGAGGATAATGCACCGTAAGCGTGAGAATGGCTCTGAATCAACGGTTCAACGCGTTATTGCATGCTGTGGCACGCAACCCATCGGCGTACGGTAAATATACTTTCCTTATACCCCTGTTTACATCCAGCAAAGGTGCCAGTAGACAAGGCGCAAAAGAAGAGAAGGAATCGCAACACCAACTCGGAGGAGGAGGAGGAGCAGAAGAGGTGAAGAGTTTCCGTCGAACCTGGGCATACGAGATAATACTACAGTATCATGATTTGTTTTGAGAGAGCACCGGGGGGTACTCGGAGCGCTTTGCATGTGATGAGCGTGACTTACATCTCTTGTCAAACATTTGAAAGGGCACCCTCAGTTGCAGCTATCCCTCTGGGCATAAGGGGACTCAGCACTTTGCCAGCAAACAGGCATTAGTCTGCCAGTAGAGGGCGATAATTGCTGCTATGTGTAATCCCCGGTGCATAATTTGCACGTTAATTTTTCGAATTTAGCCAATTCGGACCATGACGCCGCCACACAGTGGCATAATCACTTGGATTGAGAGGGGATTTTTAACGTCCACTGTGAAACAAAATATCCACGGTGAAGCAGACGGCTTCGCAGTGGATTTTCTGTGGATATTTAAAACCGCGGTAACAACCAGGGCGGCTGCCGGGCCCGAACCCCGCGACAAGCGGCAATTGCACTACCCCACTGAGGCCACGAGATGACATGTTGACGTGCAGAAGTCGGGGAAATGGGTTGCCGGCCCTCTCATGCGAGCGCGCTTTCATCCGCAGGGGCAGAGGGGAGAAGCGACCGGCGAAGCGTACCCGTCTGCTGCGCGACAGCGACGACGACGACGACGACAACAACGACACGGAGGGTATCTAATGAGCAGACAACACGCCTCCTTGTCATATCTGAAGTTTGTTCTTGTTTACACATCCCATCAGACGCACGGCGTTCTGGGGAGTTCGTCATTTTGGAAAGGTCAGTTCTACACAAACAGACTGGAGCGGTTTTGGCATAGGGGGTCTCATCAGCAGATTCAGGCTTGCTTGAATCAATGCTGGTGAACAGCCAGATGTTACAGGCAAAGGACGCTGTCTTTAGAGGTGTCCTTTTTCGACGAAAAACTATATAAGAATATAGGAAACAATATATGAAGAGAAATTATCTGCCCTAGAAATCCTTTTCTATACAAGATAATTTGACTCTTTGTACAAAATTAGTTTATAGATGCATTTTTGACCTTTGAAGGGATAGTCTATGACTAAATATATGCTAATGGATAACTTTATATGTCAATGTAAGAGTTTTCAAATATAAACATTATTAAACAGATTTTCATCAGGGTCCCGTGGTGTACCATGCAATCTCCAACTATTGTTCACTCCGTCTCTCCGGCCTCTGTCGCTCTCTGCTCTGACAAAGGACTATTGCACAAAAAGTCACTTGTCTATTTAGTTTTCCTTTTAGGGCAGTATTCTTGACGATTGTGGTGTTGTACCTTTTTGCTCCACCACTGCTCTGTGTAACAGACCGCATACCGTCAGTCCTATTTGTCTGCTCTGTCTGCTGTTATCCCTGCATCGTCTCCCTCACCCCATCCCCTGCTGGCGCACGCCGAACATTTCTTACCGCGTGGTTCAACTCGGGCTGCACAGCGTGAAGCCAAATGAGGCTGCGTGGATTTTTCCGCGCTTTCGCATCAACTTTGACCGATCCATCCATAATGCGTGCTGTTGAAAAACGGACCCAGTCATGCCATTACATTAATTGTATAAAACACATCAGATACAGCTGCCTTGGCAACAGGGGCCTGACTCATTAAGTGCCCGTGCAGCAGTGTGAAAAATGAACCCCACGTATCATCATTATTCCCATCAGGTTTGAGAGCCTTTAATGGTACGCAGCGCATGCGTGTTTGACAGCGCCATGCAGGTGTTATCTCTGCTATTTGCGTTTAATTCTGAGACCGGCCCTGCGGGGATTGATTCCGTGCGTCAGCAGCAGCAGCAGCAGGCGTGCTGGTTGAGGGGCCGGGGGCGGAGGCAATGGAGGACAAGGTGGAAGATGAGATGGAGGACTCCCCAGGAAGTCGTCCCGTCGTCACCCGTCTGGACGACTCGAGCTCGGGCGACGAGGCCGTACCGGCGAGACGGCCCAGGCAGCGAGTGATCATCGACGAGGATGATGACGAGGACGAGTGAGGAGCGAGATCCTGATGGCCGAGACGTCGTCGCGTGGTGATGTCGTGGCATCGTGACCCGTAGGCTCGTCATGGTCGTAACGAGGACTTGGAAGAGTGACCCCCCTCCCCGCCCAAGGAACATCCAAAACAGTTGTGAAGAAGCTTCATTGGAGTGCATTTGCTCCTTTCCATCATTATCATCAGCTGTGATCATCCACTGCTGGTTGAAGGCCTGCCCAAGATGTGCGGTTCGTGGGGGTTGGTTGACCGTAAATCATCTGTGCTCCCTTCCATCGGCCTAAAAATGCAACTCAAGTGTTACATTTTTCCACGTTAAATCCCCACGTGCATTTTAAGCGTTCGCACGTGCGGTTGATGGAACTCTTCTGCAACGAGATACAGTTTTAAATCTTTTTTTTTTTCAAAAGTTATTGCTTTTCAATAAAGTCAATGAGGTAATGGAAATTTTCACCGTGTATCGGTTTGGTCATGTATGAAATCTGCATGTTCCCTTCCAGCTGTGCCTACAGCTGGACTACTGCACCGCATGTGTTTGTTTAATGGGGTCATTTTAGGCCATCAACACCAGCAACTGTTCTCATCAAGCCATCGACCAGTCACCATGCTGCATTCATTATCGTTAAGTCTTTTGCAGCCAACACAAATAGTCTGCTGGTATAGCGTTCTTTCTAATGCAGCTGGAATTTTCTCATTTTTCATTTCATCAATTGCTTAAGTGCTTTGCAGCGTTTCACCCGTTGTTGTTGGAGGGTCGTGTGTGGAAAGTTTGGTAATGTTCAGTTCAACTAAGCCTGTTTTTCGTCTGGATTATGTGAAATTGTCCGTGTTAATAACTTTACATGAATAAAAAAAATTATCTTGGTAATTTTCAGGTTGTCCACACTCTGGATGTGTTCAGTTTTACTAAGCAAGAGTTGGCTGCAGTGAATCAAGATGTCGTACAAAGTGTCTGGATGGCTTTTCTTAAACGTGGAGCAATGGACCGTGGGCCAGCTCAAGATCTAAAATTGGAGAACCCATCCCAAATATTTTAACTACAATTGAACACCGCTGCACCCCCTCTTCATATGTGTTCAAATAATAATGTAATTTATCTGGGAAAGCCTCACTGGGTCTTAAGATTATTTCAGGAGGGACCCGCTTTGGTATGTTTCGCCAGTGTCTTTTCTTATTCACTCAGAAAAAAAAAATACCCGTGCATATGAGGGGATAACACACAAAGATCCAAACAGATGGGCTCACAAACCAATTTTTGTACTGACATCTCTGTCACCTTGTAGTGCAACGACTCTTGCCTCTAAAGTGATGGATGACAAGCCTGCACCACCATGCCCTAAAATCTACACATCACCAAAGCGCGATGAACGCGAGTATAAATTACATTTAAAAACGAACGTTTAATGTTATGCGTGCATGAAACCCAACAGCGCATCTGGATTCCTTAAGCCGGATGACTAATTGTAAATACAGGTCATCTCAGGATCTCGGGCGGCGCTTCGTGCAGTGAAACGCGTGTCCGATTGATTAATGGCGTTTTTTTGGCTTCTTTTCCTCTGGTTCCCGCTGACGCTGGTGAAGGGGCATTTGTTGCCCCGGTCGAGTGACACGTCTTTCAAAGGGGGCTTATGCCAAGGGTGGCGACCAGGTTGGGGTAGTCGCCTCCGCTGTCTTCTTGATTGCCTTTGGAATGACACGTAAGTTTACTTCGCATGCAAACTAGTTCAATGCGGTCGTGCAGACAACATGCCCTTTCGTGCAAGTGAGAATAAATATACATTTAGAGCGATTTGTCAATCCACTGCTGGACGTGAGGTCTCTCCACGCAGTGTGATTTCTGGGAGTCGTTTGCCCATATATTTTCACCGTGGTCAATGTGGGTTGGTGAACGGGGAGAGCCGAACTGGTTCAGGTATCGATCGCCACTGATGTTAGCCATGACTGGGAATCGAATTCAGGAAGCCAGGTTTATAGTGCCCTGTGCTAACAGTGGCACCACTTATCCGCTCGAAGTAATACCCATGAATGTTGTCACATTGACCAACATTCTTTAGAGAATTAACTACCTTGAGGTGGGTTCTAATTTTCTACGATTTGAAAGGAATCCTTTTAATCTGGCTCTATGTAAAACGTTTAGGCACATTCGTTTCGTCTGATTGCTTTTGTTTTACTTGAGCAGTGCCACACCATATAGAGATCTTTTTTTTATTCCTCCATCCGTTTTGAGGACTTGGTCTACCGGAATGACGGTTTTGTCCCATCCATAGTGTGTCCTACAGGTCAAAGGTGCACTTCTCTTTCTGCTTCTGTCCTGCAGATACACTTCACGAAACGGCACAAACACGTCCTCCCTAGGAGTGACTTTACTGTTGCAGAAGATATCGGACTGGAGTGCTTTTGGAGAAAAACTGAACCGTAAAAAAAAATTACGAGTGTTTTGCTGCCATTTCTTGTTTATTCAGTTTGGTAGTTGCTTGGTAGTTGGGTTTTAATTTGCTTGGTAGTAGCTGTGTACATGATATGGCCCTTCTGTATTATTAATGTACAGCGTTATGGGACGCAATTGGCACGATCATCCATGCTGTGTCCTACAGGTCAAAGGTACACTTCTGTTTCTACTTCTGTCCTCATGTAGATGCACTTTTGAATTGCCTCCCATCGTCTCTTTTTCCCCATGTTCTTGAAACCTTGCTCAATTCACGAAAGTGTCAACTTGTTATCTCAATCATTGTAACGTTCATCTTGCTGCCTGTTATTCTCCGCTGTTCTTAGGCCTTTGGGTTGTGTTCAGTGAACCGTTAGATATCATTTTTTTTAAAAACGAATACAGTAATGGAGCTTCAAATTCTTGTCAGATGGCCCCGGGACGCAGTCTGGACATTTATCTCGTAGATAAGAGCTATTTGTCTTTATCGAGTTTCATTTTTCCTTGAAATGATGTGTGGGCAGTGCACGGCATCACACCCAAGGATCATGTAGCCCCAGCCCAGTTCCGTGCTGGGGCAGACGAGACATTAATTAGCGCCAACGGTTGCGGTCAGACAGAGAGCAGCGTGTGTATGATGTCCGGTGCAGCCGACACCACTGGGTGGGGTGGGGGCAGATTTACATCTTCACGAAACGGCGAAAACACGTGCTCCCTCGTGACTTTACTGTTGCAGAAGATGGCGGACTGGGAGTTATTTTGGAGAAAAACTGAACAGTTAAAAAAAAAATTACGAGTGTTTTGCTGCCATTTCTTTATTTGTTTATTCAGTTCAGTGGTTTCTTGCTAGTTGGGTTTTAATTTGCTTGGTAGTAGCTGTGTACATGATTTGATCCTTTTTATCACTCGCCTTTAGCCCGCCCAAGGATTGCAGTAGATCTGAAACTTGCAAGCGAAAAGCAGACCGCGACGTGATATGCATTGCATCCATTCGTGTGCAATTTGTAAGGCCGCGGTGACACGGACTTATTTCATTTTAAGGTTAAAATCCCTTGTTCATCACGACGTCCTTTTTACTTTGATGTCTCAACAGCGTTACAGAGATCACGTGACGTCAGGGTTCTGCCTTTGTCGTGAGGGTTGTAAGTTGACGCCGAGGAGGGGGGAGGAGGCGCCTCGGCCCCCCATGTGGAGTGACGTCACCCGCTTATTATTATGAATGGGGGGGGTGGCCATTTGGAGGACGTCACCTGTTCATGAGTATTAATGAGGGGGGCTGGTAGATGTGGAGTGACATCACGTGCTCATGATTATTAATGAGGGAGGAGGGTGCTCCATGTGGATTGACGTCACCTGCTCATGATTATTAATGAGGGGGGGGGGGTCCATGTGGAGGACGTAACCTGTTCATGATTATGAATGAGGGGGGCTGGTCGACGTGGAGTGACGTCACGAGCGTTACACACAGACATTCTTGGCTCATTATCGTAGTAATTGTTATGAAAGCACAAGTCCACGATGCCAAGAGGCCGGTAACAAATATCACTCTTAAAGGGTCAATAGATGTTTCTGGAATTGCACAAGAGTTATAGGAAACTCAAGGAAACAAACGACAGGAGAGGGAATTCCAAAGTAGAAAGAAGCAAAAAGAGAAAGAGGAGTTTTTGACCTGCAGTGTGAGTGCATTTGTATGCACGAGCGCCATTGGGTACCAAGGCAGCATGCGTGTAAAGTTTCAATGGCGTGACCCCCACCACCTGCCTGTATCCCGGGTGATGACTGACACACGCTGGGAATCGTGTTTTTTTGAATGCTCTTCCCCTTGAACTGACACTGAGAAGAGCGGACCGCTTATGAAAGTTCAGAGCTCATGAGACAAGACGTGCTTCTGATTTTTGGTCACAGGGCCAGATAGATACATCACAAGTCTGGTTTCATATTCATCATCTATCTATTTTTATCCTTTCCTACCAATTTCATCCTGATGGTGCTTCCGGCGCCGTGTCATAAGATAAAATATCTATTCGGATCTCTCGCATAGCAGTGCGACCCTTCGTGTTGGAGAATTGCCCCATTGAAGTGGATATCACAGGCGTGCTCCCGACATCCCTTCAAGTTACCTCTGTTCCACAAAGTAGGGGAGATTGCACGCCCTGCCAATAATGGTAATAATGTTCGTAGCGTGACAGTCAACCCGATTATTTCAATTGTCAGAGGTGGAAATTTACCAAAATCAATGGGAGAATCGCATTAAATGCGATTGAGATGTTTTTGTGTAATCGGTGATGCCGAGCATAAGCCCATCAACTCACTCCACTTGAGAACCCGGGTAATCGAAGGCGGCTGCTTTGTAATCTCAGCGATTTCCGCTGAGTGCTCTGATCTCTGAACTCCCCCGACCCCCCTTATATGTTTTATTCAATTTAATTTGGCTTTGTTTGCTTTTGTAGCCTTTGGTTCCGTAATCGTAGGGGTTTTAAAATCGATGCTTTTTTTATCTTGTTAAAAAAAAGTCGCTGATTAAAAAAAAAATTCACATGCGTTTTGTTTATTTGGACATTGAGCAATGATGATGATAAAGTAGCCAGACCATCATGTATGTGTAGGCACTGGTTATGTCCTATATAAGCATTATTCTACACTCCCACAATGTGAAATTCCATGAACACCACCATCGAGTACTCTCTCAATAAATAAATACCACGTGGTTTATAAAATGACTTGAATGTGTATTTAAGAAAATGTAGGTTTTGGCAGTTCAATCATACCACGCATTCATCACTATGTCATGTTGCCAACATTATTAAGATGACTTTGGCAGCCACCTGTAGCCGCAATGATTTATTTTCGTGAAGATATATGACCTCTATAACTGGGTAATAGGACAATGGATTAGCGCACTGCTATGAACCCGGCGATCAGCGTTCAATTCCCAGCCACAGCTAACAGCAGTTGGCGCGGGTGATGTCTGCACTCGTCCTGAACACCAACATCATCCTTCCCCTTCATTAAAACTGCACTTATTAATGCGGTAAAGTACGGTCCAGCGACACCATAACCGACACTGCGTTGGGAGAATATCCTTCATTCAGCGGTAGATTGATAAACGGATGTAGAGATCCGTTGTGGTTTTTTTTAATGGTAAATGTTAATATAAGTAAGTGGCTTTGGGCAGGACACGTCGCTAAAAGAGAGAATGGACGATGCTCAGGAATGATGGTGGGGTGGGGGGCGGGGGAGCCAAGGAACGGGACACGTCTGAGAAAGGCGTCCAGCAAGGATTATTAACATTGCAGGATCGTGAGAGGTGACTGCGACTTGGCGATGCCTTCATCCAGTGGTGGATTGGCCATGGCTGCTGATGATCAAGGCTTAATTTCTCATGCAATATTTTGTGGACCAACCCAGCCTCCTGGACCCTACACACCCACCAATTGTCGGGTGTTGGTTGACTAAACATTGTAATATTTTCCGGAGCTTATCCCCGAACAGCTCCGGATAAAATTAGTCCCTGGTGATAATTACGAAAATAGCTGCTCATTGCACCCACGATTATTTTAATTTATTTTTTACACGGATCGTCCACGAAATAATCCCAAGTCTCTTTTTTTAATTTTAATCGTTGGAATATTAAATCCCCGCCGTCTGTAAGCGTGCAAGAAGTAGTCGCGGCGTTATAGGACTTGGAGCTAGAAAGAGAGCCGCGTTCCAACGAAAACAGCCTCCGCGCTTCGAGCCTCGCACTGCCATGCACACGAGAGAGGCTCGACTGGTGGTGGTGGTGGAGGGGGGAAGGTTTCTTGGCAAGAAAGAATTAAAAAAAAAATGTTTTTTAACAAACATTTCGTGCCGGGTTCATTGGGGATAAGCAGTCTTCTCTCCACGAGTGTCCGTTCATTCCACCGCGCAGTTATGGAGACGTATCGCTCGCGCTGCCAAAGATTACGAATCGTTCCCTTCCCCGGTTCACACGGGGTCGCCGAGTCAATGTAATGTTTACAGACTCCCTCTCCACTTTGTCAATCCGCTGCTGGATGATTCCTCTACCCCCCCCTCCCCCCCACGATGTTGTTTGTCGGCCGTGGTGGCTTGTTTGACGATACTCATTACTTCATCACGCTGACGAGTCCGTGAAGTGTGGGAGGTGAGTCAGGACCGATTCAGCTATCACTCGCCACTGATGTTAGCCGTGGCCGTGACTCGAACTCAGGTAGTCTGATTGATAGCGCAGCACACGCGAACCACTGCGTTACCAATCCTCTACACCATGGCAATTTGTCAATTCATAGCTGGATGAAGGCCACTTGAAACCCATCTGCTATCTCTCACAGTCTTTACGACGTAGCAATCCAGATGGCTCATGCACACCAGATGATTTCATGACTCCCGTCTCTGCCACGGTGAACGCACCTACCGAGCGTGTTCCACGCTTTGTAACTTTCTGACCCCGTGCCCCCACTGGACATCTGTAAAGAAGAACTTTACAGCTCATCGGATTCCTCCTGCAGCTTACCCCCCCGCCACGCCACGGCCCATCCTGGCTCCTCCCCCTCTCCTTAACCAGTATATAAGGTCATGTCTCTTAGAGCTCTCTTCACTTGATACAGCAATTTTGCTGTGACGGTTCCACCTGAAGACGGAAGCTTGTGTTGCCTCCGAAACGTCGTGATTTAATTTATTTGTTTTTTCTTTACCTACGTGACTTTACCTAAAAAAAACTAAGAGTATGGATCCTTGCAGTCACGAAAACGTCAAATCTGGAATCAAATCTAGAAATATAAATAAACATTGTGATTCTGACCACTCCGTCGTTCGTCTCGACCACCGCCCATCATCACCGCGACGTGTCCCACCCAAGCCCGCGAAGTTTTCTTAACACTCAAAATGCGATAATTGGTTTTTTACCCTTTTATCTGGCAACAAAATTGACACCTTTTATTACAAGGAGTTATGTTTGCATTGACCAAAATACCTGCAGTCGGAATGCAAACAAAAAACATAACTCTAATAATGTGCGCCCTTTGGCGTCATCTGGTCCAACACCATGTGAGACTAGGCCCTAAAGAAAGCATGTGATGGAGCATTACCACACGATATCATCAAAATATGAACTGCTCTATATATTCTAATGCAAGGATGAGAACTTAAACGAGATTAATTGCTTCCAACATGTATTTATAAAAAAATTAATTGAAATAGAACAATCAAACACAGAACAATTGTTAAGTTAAATAAAGTTATAATAATAAAAAATAAAACAATTCCAATAAGAAAGAAATAGGACTTTTCAAATCGCAAAAAATTGCAGCCTTTGCAATTTGCTGATCGCATTTTTTAAATTGCGATTTCGATTTTAAATCGATTAATCGTTTAGCCCTAGTAAGAACGTTCCAAGAACAAACAGTACAAAAACAATCTTGATTTGAATCTTGATTTGAAACACGATACTAGCGCAAAGTACAAGAAAGGTACACGAATCAACCAAACGCATACAAATAAACCAATCACCCAAACGCATACAAATAAACCTAAACAATTCCCACTCCCCCTACCCCGCACCCCCCACTCTCCCTGTCTCTCCTTCCTGGCTCCTCCTTCACCCCCCCCCCCCCTCTCTTGCCTATATGGCCTCTTGTTGCATCAGCCCTTTTGCCCACTCAGCAATTGTTTCCTGCTGTGGTTGTCCCACCTGATGACGGACGCTTGTGTTGCGCCCGAAACGTCGTGATTTAATTTATTTTATTTTATACCTACGTGACTTTACCGAAAGAACCACGGTATGGATCCCTGCAGTCACGAAAACTTCACATCTAGATTAAAACTTCAAATCTAGATTAATATTTATCCTACCAGGTAAAGCTCACTGAAGTACTAACATATTTTTTTTAGAAGCGACCTGGCCACAGATGATAGCTCAACAAAGTGACCCATCATTTTGACATTTATAGCAACAAAATAATATAATCTCAATGCATGTTTTTTATGAATGTGAGCAACACAAACCCTTCAACAACAAACTAAAAATGATTACGAAATAAACGCATTTGATTACTTAAAACGTTCGTGACTGCAGGAATTCATATTCTTGGTTCTTTCGGTAAAGTCGCGTAGATAGAAAAATAAAACTGCAATATTTATTTTATTTTATTATAAAAATGAGCATACGAATAGTTTATTATAAAAATAATAAAAAAAATGTAAAAAAACTTCTATCTACGTGACTTTACCGAAATAACCAAGAATACAAACGCATTTGTATAAAAAAAAATTAAATGTATTGCTTGCAAAGTCGCATTCTGGATAACTTTGCTATGTTGAGAGCGTTTTAAACCGAAAATTAGTGACGCAATCCTGGGGCCAATCGCCAGACGAGTTCGACGTCGCGGGCGTGGCTTTGTCGCGATGATAGACAGCTGACGCGTTTTTGACGTCACGTTTGGGGCGTTTAGACGTCACAATTAAGAGCTGCGTGATGAAGTCACAGCGGGTGATTGGAGCTTTAATGTTTTTTATTTAGTTCAAGTTCATTTATTAGGTATAGCCCTGTGAGCCATTCGGCTCTTGAATCGGGTGCAACCGCAGCAAACAAAAAACAAAACATGAACAAGAAAGCATCTTAAAGTGAATATGTGACTAAGTGCAAACAGAAAATCCAAGAAAAGACAGCAAAATATTGCAGAAAAAACACCGTACACCAACGCTGTGTGCAAAAATCCCAGTGGGATGCAAGTCAAACAACAACAACCACAAGACAACTTAGATTAAGGCCATCAGTCTGACTCCGTACTACCATAAACAAACATGGCCAAACCAGAAAACTTTTCGAAATCACTTTGTCTGTTACTCAGTAGAAACGCACGGTGTCAACCATTCGTATGCTTATTCAAAATTGTTTATCGGGAGTCTTTGATCCTTACCCGTGTATCGATCGTTAAATTTAGCTAAATCTGGCGCGTTATAAATAGCATTATTATGAATTATTAATGTGCAATTTTATTGAGGTGCCGTATGTTGTCTTGGTGTGGTCAGCGACTGTTGTTGTTATTGTTGTTGTTTTGCTGCCTTGCTCTAGCTGCATTTCAGTGTTCAAAAAGCGACAGGAGTTTATGTACTTATGTAAATTGTACTTATTCTTGGTTCTTTCGGTAAAGTCACGTAGAAGGTAAATAATAAAATAATAAAAATATTAAACAATAACAATTCTCACGACGTTTCGACTGCAACACAAGCAATCGTCATCAGGTGTGAAATCCACAGCAAGAACATTTGAAAAAAGTTGTATATTTATTGTTTATATTTATATAATTTAATATTATTTTATTATTTCCCTTCTACGTGACTTTACCGAAAGAACCAAGAAAATGAATCCCTGCAGTCACGAAAGCTTTAAATCAAAATTGTACTTATATCCTGTTTTTAGTGACTTGCCGACCGCTTCCTCTGCAGTACTTTGCGCTCCCATCGTTTTGCGGCATTGTTTGTCGTCGTAACTTGCTGATCCGCCCCTACTGGACATCTGCGAAAAAGAGCTTCATAGCTCATCGGATTCCTCCAGGAGAAATAAAGATTCTGACTTTTAAAGTTCATTCTTATAAGGCCCCACGATGTAAGGCGCAGTCTGCAACTCGTATTATCCGCTATATCAATCGGGTGTCTATATTCACGTGCTATTGAGGGGCATTCCCCGAAACGTCGCCTGTTATATATTTTTGTTCCAGTCAAACAAATTCAGAATCAGCCTATTTAGTTATCCTGGAGGAATCCGATGGGCTATAAAGCTTGTATTTAAGAGCTTGTCTCTTGGAATTTTGCCTCACTTGATACAGTAAATTTAGCTGTGACGGTCCCACCTGATGCCTCCGAAACGTCGTGATTTATTATTTTATTTCTACTATTATTTCTATTTTTTTTATTATTTCTTTTTACCTACGTGACTTTACCGAAAAAACCTAAGACTACAAAGCTCTTTTTCTCTAAATTGGCAGTGATGCAAAGGTACAAAAGAACAAAAAACTCAACAAGTTCGTCAACAACACTGTATGGCCCTTAAAAGGAATACAAATAACAGACGACGTTCCGAGACCTGGCCCTTGTTCGTCACCCCTGCACACGCAGTTGCGAAGTGGGCGAGGCTTCGCGGCTGCAGATTGACAGCTGTCGCGTGATGACGTCATCTTCAGGGGCGTTACTTCCCCCGCCCCTCCCCACACAAACCCGACGCTGGTGGGCGTGGCTCGGCGGTGATTGACAGGCGTGTGCGGTGACGTCACGGCCGTGTTTACGGTTTCCTGCGCGAGGTTTGTGAGTAAGGGGGGAGGCGGAGGAGGAGGCGACCGCGGACCTCGGCTCCTCAGCTCCCGCACGCCTCTCGCTCGCCTCCTCGCCTCCGACCGCGCTCTCACTTGGGTAAGCCGCGCGATGGCGACGATGACAGTGATGGTGGCGATGGCCCGCGACTGTGAGGCAGAAGGAGGAAACTGGTTGCTGCCGACGACTGGAACCACCCGCCCCTGGGTTCAGTCTCTCACGCGGCGTTACCTTCCTCGCGTTCTGCCGTTCCTTGCCGGGTTCTCACGGTCCGTGAGAGCCGTGCGAGGTGAAGGGGATAAGCCTCACCAGCCGCGCCGCCCCCAGTCGGGATTGCTGCTGCAGCAGCCGCAGCAGCAGTAGCTGCTGCTGAGGCGGTTCGGGGGTTCGCGGCCTCCGGCCTTGGAGCCTCGGGCTCGCCTGGACGCCCTCGCCCGCGGAGGTGCAGTCGCCCCCGGACAGAGCCAGAGGGTGACCTGGTGGGGGTGACTTGAGACGAGCGACTTTGTGGGGTGACTTGAGACGATTGGAGAAGGTGACTCGGGAGGTAACGAGATTAAGGACTTGAAGGGGGTGAGATGGTAACTAATTTGAGGTGATGCGGAGGAGGGTTGGCTTCAAAGGTGACGAGTTGAGTGTCTGGGAGGTGACTTTAGAGTGGCTAAATGGGTTGTTGGTTGACTGAGGGTTTGAATCTACGAGGTTGACTTGAGGGAGTTACCAAAGATTGTGGCTCAGAGCCACTGGCTGCGCCTTTACGTGGTTGTTGTGATTGTGAATCGTGTTGTTGTTATTGTGGTGGTGGTGGTGGTGGGTGTTATTGTGGTTGCTGTTGTGGTCGGCGTATCGTTACGACTGGCGCTGTCGTGCCTATAGTGGTTGCAGTTGTTTCGGTTGTTGTGTTGTTGTTGTTGTTATTTTTGTGGTTGAGATTGGTGTAGCTCTAAGCAGCTGGCTGCCCTTGTGAATGTTTATTGTTGTTGTTATGGTTGTGCTTGTCATTGTTGTTAAAATTGTTTTGGTTGTTACGGTTATTGTTGTTATTGCTATCGTTGTAGGTATTATTGTGGTTATCGTGAACATTGTGGTTATTGTTATGCTTATTATTGTTCTGTTTGTTAAGGCTGTTATTATGGTTGACCGTTACGTGGCACTGCTCCATGGCGCAGGAATGCGCGACCTCTCCCCGATCATCCTCCCTTAAGCGGCCCTATCAATAAGCCAAACAGATCTGCTCCAGTAGCAACAAGCCTGTAATGTGTTCTCCAGAGCAGTCATACACCAGTTTGAAGCTTCTCTAAATCGAACAAAATGTACTTTGGAGGAAGTTTTTGGCGTGCGCTTGATGTCACGACATTTGACGTTGAATTTCAGGAAGTCCGACCGCCGTGATGTCACTGGAGAGTGTCTGAGAGTCACTTGAACGTTTTTTTTCAATCACCGAACTCGTGTCATATTGCCCGGAACACACAGCCCTGGCACGCACGTAATCTACAAGATTAAGGGTTGTTTTTCCCTTTGCATAGTATCTTCCATAATCGTTCGTTTCTGTTTTCCTCTACATGTATGTTTAGTGAATTTATCTTTTCAGGTTTTTTTCTCGAAAGAGTATATATAGTAGGTGTGTTGTGTTTGCACGTGGTGAATTTAGTTGGAATGGCAGGGGATTTCCCTATCCACTGAGTGGTGATGACATTGCGAATTTAAATCCAGAACAGGATCGTTGTCAGCCTTATCCTTCATTGGTCCATACAATTAGTACCACAGTGCAGCTCTGACACAATGAGAGTTGTATTCCCAGCCACGGCTAACATCAATGCTGAGTGGTAGCTAATCGAGTCTTTGGCACTGACCAACGTGACGACATTGTCGGTTAACCCCGATGGCCCGTGTGTCGTGGTGAAGCCTTCGTCAAGCAGTGGATTGACCAAAGGGCTGTACATGTACACATCCACATGTTTATGCGTCTTCTCCACTTGGTCAGAAGGCAACTGTTGTTTTCACGTGGTCACACTGTCCTTCGGAATGTTAACGTGGAATTTCAAGCAGTGATTCTGGACCGCCGATGTAAATAAACATTGTTATTGTTGGGGAGGTATATTTTGCGATAAATTGTGAGACTGGCTTGATTCTTCTTAAGTGCGGAATGTTACTTGAGGAGGAGAGTGGAATCTGTCATAGGAACATGGAATGTTTATCACGCAGGTTTGACAACAGGGATGAGTAATAACCCTCGCTATTTTGATCACGGGGACAGTGAAATCCTTATGGAGTGCAGTCGTAAAAATACACGCATGTGTATATTTATAAGTGTAGACTGCATATACTGCATGTCTAAGTATGTACACGGTAATCTATACCAAATGTTTCCTTTTTTATAAACTGTTGTGTAAAATATACTGTAAACTCTTGACACTTCAGAATTCTGTGTTATAATAAAGTATTTACCTCTTTGCTGTGTTTATAATAATGTGATATTATGAAGCCCCCTGATAATCCACTCCTTATGCCGCATTGCTTATGGCGTTGATTGATCATATTTAACCACACTGGTCAGTGCAGGTTGGTTATATGGGGGAGCCTATAACCATTTCGGATACTATTGGCCACTGATGTTAGACTTGATCAGGAATAGAACTCGGGTCGCCAGGTTTATTCACAGTGTTTTCACCACAATTCTACCGTTCCCCTTACTATATTTATTTAAATATCAGAGAAAGACTTGTAAAGTTTTAGTGTGCAACTTTTATTCATATTTTCCTCATATTCAGAAGTTCCGTTCTCTCCCTCCCCCACTACCTATCTCTTGGGAAAGGTGTGTTTTGTTTGAGTACTGGCACATAGTGAAAGATTGTTGGATTAGCAAAGACCATAAAAACACGGGGTTTCATTGATTGTTGCAATGTAGTTGTAACTCTATCCCACACGATAGCCAACAACGACATTGTAATTTGTGCCACTGCAGTTGAAGGACTGCAGTTTCCTCCGCTGCCGTAAACAACGTGCTCCATTAAAACATATTTCCATCCTCGCACGCCACCGGGGTTCTGCTCCTACCCTTGTTCACTTACACCAATCCTGAACTATACTCGCACACCGAGCCTAAACAATCAATTGTTCACCTTAACCCCGTCAAATTGTTTTGCGCCAGGTACAAAATTAGTTTGTTAACGCCTGGCGGAGCGCAGCAAGAATCTTTCTTTCTCCACTCCAGCCACGGCTACGCGCCAGTGTGTGGTCATGTGGAAAAGCCCAAGTGCAGCTCAGGACAACCTGGCGCGGCTGCCGAACATGTGCAGGGCGGTGGCGCAGGCGGCAATTAGGGGAGCAGGAGACGGGGTCCGTGGTGACGGGCGCGGGCCACGGGTCAGGCACACAGCCTGCCCCACACGCCCCCTCAGTAGGCTTCTCGAATAAGTGGGTCACTGCATGCCTGTGGCTGTCGGGAATGCGGACAGGCTAACTATCGCTCGGTCTGTTGTTTTCCGCCGTCGGCCGTACGAGCTGAGATGGGGCGTAAAGACACGAGGTTGCGTTTCGTATTCACGGCGAGCAAGCGATGCCAGCTGCACCGCCCGATGGAGACCGCAAAGTTGTCCCTGGGACGTAATCTGAAATCTGTCTGCTTTAATGCAGTCGGAAAGGTTCGTTGCTGCTCTGCTGGAATTTTAAAAAGGCACACGCCCGTGATTTTGAGTGCAAGGGACCTTGCGTGTGAAATATGCCCGCCGCATCGATGGAACATGATTGAAAGTAATGTCAACGGAGCTGAAAGAATAATTACTTTAGAGTTACGAGCTACAAAGCAGTGTGCGCAGTAGTAATGATGTCTGTTAAACAGGATTACAAGACGACTGTGAGCTCGCTGTTTGTTTACAAAATACGAGTCGTCACTAACGTATGTGATTTACAACGTGTTGGTTCTGTGAACAAAACAATTATAATTAAAGCTGACCTCCAAAAACATCTCGCAGTTATCTGGCCACACGTCTCTAATCCCATCACAGTTATCCATCGATCTGCCAACATTTTAACTGATTGTGGGTTCATTTCTCACTGATTCACCGCTTTTGAATCGTTACGGTCAATTAAAAATGTCATGGGTTTTTTTTCCTGCATAAACTTAACCTTACACTTGACGGTAACTGTTTTACGTTTGTTTAGGTCCATTTGGTTATTGAAAGTATTTTAAGTGTACCGGAAACCTGTGGTGCAATCTCAGAACATGTGCATGACTGCAGGAAAAGATGCTTTATATTTTGGTAGTTTCTGCCACGGAAAGCATTGGTAAGGGGGCATGCTTGAGCTTTTCACACATGAAGGGCCTTGGTAATTATCTGCTATGTGCAACTAGCAAGCCGCTCGCCACAGTTGCCCCCGGTGCTTGAGCCCTTTTGGCAAGCGAGAATGGTTGGAATATTAGTCAGCAGGTGTTGTGTTGCCTCCTTGAGCAAGCTTAAGACGACCTCTCCATTGTGTTTCCTTGGTTATGCCGTGCGTTGTTCGACGTTTGATGTTTCGTGTTTAGCACCACGCTTGACTGCCTTAAGAAACTCCCCAGCACGCAGAACTGAATTCAGTTCCTGAAGAAACTCCCAGCACAGAGCGAATTTCAGACATAATGCAGAACAACATATGCACGGTACAACCCGAAAACAGATTGGAGAGCTATGCAGTACAACCACGATAACCTACGCAGCAGCCTGACGCACATACTCGGGCTAATGGGCTTTGCCATGCTCCATGGTAACCTGGGTAAGTTAAAGAAAGGTCCAGCGATGCTCTGTACTTGGCTACACGGAGGGCTTTTTTATTTGCGTTAGGGGTAGGATAAGTGCTTCCTTGTAAGTGCATGGTCTGGCGGCGCTAAGTGTGCCTTTGTGATGTAAGTTTTACATTTGAATGGGAACGGGTGTGGGGTGTATTCTGGGTTTTGGATCTTAAACGAAACAAAACGACGTATACCTTGGACCCCCGCGCCGCCCGCCGAGGCAGTGTTAATTTAGTCAGCATTTATATTATTTTAGTCGTAGTCTTAATATATTCCAACAACATCCTGTGGAATTTTACTCAAGTGTTTTTTTTCTCGCCTGCGGATT